TATTAAAAAAAAAATCATTGGCAGCTTTTGTTTCTTAGATCAAAACAGACTTCATATTCCAACAAATGCCTTAAAATCCAATTGAAAACCAGAAAGAAATGCTTTCTGCATTTAAATTATAAAGACACCTTATGCATAATTTCAAGCAAAGCCCAGAATAAGCTAATAATTGGAAAAACATTGAGAGCTTTTTTTTTTTTTTCTTGTTAAGTCACATACAGAACAAGAGGAGTCCCTGGGTGGTGCAGACAGCTAACGTGCTGGGCTGTTAACTGAAAAGTTGGAGATTTGAGTCCACCCAGATATGTCTCGGAAGAAAGGCCTGGCAATCTACTTCCAGAAAAGCAGCCGTTGAAAACCCTATGGAGCACAGTTCTACTCTGACACACATGGCGTCTCCAAGAGTTAGGGTCAACTGAATGGCAACTGGTATAGGACAAAAACCAGGAAGTGGCCAGTCTTGTGGGAGAATATCAGGCTCCCAGTGACTGAGAGCAGAGCTCTGCAACTTGTGGCTTGCTCTTGACCTGAAGAGCAAAGAAACGATCTTCACTAGGGACAGTGAAGCTCCAGAGGGGAGCACCCTGGGAGAGTGAGATCAGGGTGCAGCAGACTGGCTCCAGCAAGTTCAGGCCGGAGGCCCCAAAGAACTGGCTCAACAGAGTGCCAGCTGGGAGGGCTGGGCCTGCTGCCTAGCCTGGGCCAGTGGTCTGCAAAGTAGGGTACCACTTAGTAGCAGTGCACAGGGTAGAAGCTCAATGAAGACGAGTTCCTGCCCTGTCTCCTTCCGAGGGTGCTAATCACTTGTTACTGTGGAGAATGGTGAACAGAAGCCAGAAAACTGGAGACAGCCAAACATTTCAGTTCCCAAATAAGCAGATGATGGATCCCAGAAGGCACATTCACTTGAGCGCGCTGGTGGTCCCCAGCGCAAGCCTAGGAGATGCTTTGTGCTGTACAGACATCTGGGAATGACGATAGCAGGAGTGCTGGCTGTGCCGGGCGTCGGGGTGAACGCTCTACGGACCTTGTCACCTCTGGGCCTCTCAGCATCCTGTGGGGAACGTGCTGCGACTGCCTCCGCTGAAGAGGGTAGGTGGCTTGCTCCAGGCCACCCCGCTGGGAAGTGGCAGAGCTGGGATTTGAACTGGGCAACAGCTGGCTCTAACGCCTTGGTCTTCACCATAATGCTGTGTGCTGAACCAGAGCAAGCTCACTGGGAGTGGTGGCGAGGCCACTAGCTTTCAGCACTGCTGGGATGTGAATTTCGCAAAGTGTAGGACTGAGCCTCTCCTGAAATCCTTTTGGATAGGATGAGAAACCTGTCTTCCAGGCTGTCTTTCCACCTTACTTTCCCTCACATTGCCAAGGCGAACAACTCGCTGTGTTCACAGCTGCTGGGCTTCTCCTCAAGGTGCCTCTGCTCGGCTGTCCCTTTGGGCCGGAAGTGGATCGGTGTAGTAGGGGAAGGCATAGGCTTTGGCGTTGGTCCAACCTGGTTTGAAGCCCAGCTCTGCCCCTCACTAGCTGCTCGACCCTCTCTGAGCCTCAGTTTCTTCATCTGTGGTCGTGAGATGAGCATGCACAGAGAACACCTGGCAGAGAGCAGGGATTTCATAGATGCTCTTTCCTTTTTCCCACCCTTGATGGTCCAGAATTAGCTAGACTAGAAATGCAAATGCAACTTGGAAAACAACAAGAAAGAGACCTGAGGTGATCGTTGTCCATTTTGCCAAATTGCTAATAATGCAGAAAATTTCTAGGGGTGAAGAACCACAGACCCCAAAGCAGTGGAACCCCATAACTGGGTGGGTCTGTTCCATGGTGCTGCTGAGAGATGATGCGTGTCTGAACTCACATCAGCAGTATGGAAAGGGGATGCGGATTCACTCTGAGTTGGGATCGGTAGACTCCAAGTTGGAGTGCATGGGGAGGCAGGAGGGCAGCGAGACCACCGCTCAGGGGAAGTGGGGAGATGGGCTGTTTCACCACTTCCTGCTGTTCTAGGGGTTCTAACAATAAGTGTGAGAGGTAAACAAAGAATGAGGGTGGCTTCCTGTAACATAGGAGCCCTGGCTCCGACGGGTAGCTAGGGGTGGAGTGTTGGGTTTGGCCTTGAGCTTGGGGCCTTGTGGAAACCATCTGTAACTAATGATGATCATCTATTGAGCTCCTCCTGTGAGCCGCCATGCTGCCCATTTAACCCTCACCATCATCCTGGGCGGTGGGCACTGTTGACTACTCCTTCACAGAAGACACTGTGGTCAGAGTGGTTGCCCAGGGCCCTGCTGAGGGCGAGTGGGATGGAAACCAGGTCTGGGAGGTGGAAAGCCTGCACTCTTAGTGACTGCATCCCACTAGGGATGATGCTACCTGGGCAGTGGGTAGTTTGATATTGTAGGATATAAACGTACAAAACCAGGATCAGATGAGTAACCTTTTATGGTCTCCAACCCTGGCTGCTGTCTGGTTTTGATGCCTGTTTTGCCATGGTCATTGGGCCGAGGACACACACAGAACTGGGCAGTCGGACCATTGCTCAGGGGAAGTGGTGAGACGGGCTGTTTCACCACTTTCTGCTGTTCTAGGGATTCCAACAATTAAGTGTGAGAGGTAAACAAAGAATGAGGGGGGCTTCCTGTAACGTAGGAGCCCTGGTGGTGCAGTGGTTCAGCACTCAGCTGCTAACTGAAAGGTCAGCAGTTTGAACCCACCAACCGCTCCGTGCAAGGGAGATGTGGCAGTCTACTTCCATAAAAATTTAGTCTTGGAAACCCTATGGGGCAGTTCTACTCTGTCCTATATGGTCGCCATGAGTCAGAATTGACGTGACTGTAACAGGGTTTTCTTCTTTCCCCTGTAACATAGACAATGCAAGGGGACTTCGTAGTTCAGGGCAACGTAATGGAGAGGTCACAGGCTCTTCTTCCTTCAGTGATTTGGATTGGGGCATGAGAAGGCACATTAGCACATTCGTTCATCCATCTATCATGCATCCACCCATTCACCCACCCATCCATCTTTCCAATCTTCACTGAGCTTCTGCTAAATGCAAGGCATTGGAAAAGTAAAAAGATGAAGTTTGACAAGAATAGGAAACTATAGATGATTGTGGAAGCTGGCTAATGGGTATTTAAGTTCATTATGCTATTCTCCTTGTGTATGTTTGAAAACTTCCACAATAAAATGCTGAGATGAGGTGTGAAATGTGGGGATTAGGGCTGGAGTCTCAGGGTGCCTTGCCATACAGAGGCAGTTGACATGTTAACTCTTCCCATTCTAGAACATAAGCTCCTTGAGGGCAGTGACCATGGAGCCCAGAAGGTAGGCACCGGCCGAGGCCCGGGCACACGAGTTATAGCCACAGCTGCCTGGTGAGGCCTTGCAGGCAAGAGAAAGGGGTCAGAAAAAGTAAGGCCAACAGAGAAAGGCAATGAGGTAAAGCAGCCGCCTTCTGGTCTGCCCAGCAGCTCACAAGCAGCAGCCCCAGCTTGGCAAATGATCTGCTACCAGTAAGCCCCAGAAGGTTCTGAGAAGCTGGCCCTATGTCAGCTCATGAGGCCTGTTTTTACCCCAAACTCCTCAAAGTAGGATGTTGTATCTGGGATCTGTGAATGGCTGGGAGCTCCCAGAAATTACAACAAAAAGTGTGTTGTGTGTGCATATCTGCTTGTTTTGCTGGGGCAAGGTCCACTGTCTTCTTCAGAACTTCAAGAGCTCTACATAGAACTCAGAAAGTTTCAGGAACGGCTGCCTTAGTGGTAAATCAAGGAAAGGGGGCCAAGTCTGGCCCAAAGAATAATGTGATGATTGTTGAAATGGCAAATGTTTTGTTACCTATACACTTACCACACATACACAAAGAGTAATGTAATTTGATGAGCTGGCCTGCTGGAGAGTAAGGCTCAGTCCCAGATCAATGACACTGATCTCACACTATTTTCAGACCCAACCTAGGAGCCCTAGTTCCTAGTGACTTAGGTTACTATAGTTACTAACACCTCTGGTGTGCCAGGCCCCTCCACAAATATTTTCTCATTCCACCCTCCTGACAACCCCATGGGGTGGGGATTATCGTTCTTTTTCACATAAGGAACTGGATGGGGGAAATGAAATGACATTGCACAGAAGTGAGCGAGCTGGGCTAGAAGCCCTGGTCTGAGTGATTCCAGAACTTTCCATGGCATTCAAGAGGAAGAAGATACAGAAGACTGTTGGTCTTTGAAGTTTAAGACAAGGCCAAAAGCTGAGAAAGAAGATAGCAAGGCTGAAGGTTTCAGTGTGACTGAGGGTTTAGGGACAGGTCCAGCCACCTGCCACAAAAAATTCTGCCTCTAGAAGGGGGCCCAGCACTATGTTTGCTGGTGATTCACTGGCAAGTAATTCCAGAGAGAGGGCCTTCAGAATTAGCCCAAAGCAATGCAAAGATGCAGGAGACTGCTTCCACCAGGACTCAGAAAAAGCAACAATTCTAGCGGGGACCACCATCACAGTTTGTTGCCAGGTCGTATGCAGAAGACAATGCAGAAGGACAATGGGCTGGTCTCGAAGATGAAGAGTAAGGCAGGAGAGGAGACCTAAATATCTGAGAACAGTGAAAACATGGTGAACACAGACACACATGGAGACAAAGACACACAAATCCACACAGAGAAACACACACGCACCTGCACAAATCCACACACATATGCACAAGCACATAAAGAGAGAAACACGGACACACACACCCCCGCCCACGGACACACACACACACACACACACACACACACACACACACACACACCCTCCTTCCTCCCATACCCGAAGTCTCCAGCTCTCCCTCCCTCTTGCTCCCCTCCCACATGCCCCTCTGAAAACCCGGCCCTTTCACAGAGCACCCACATATCCCACTGGGCCCCTGGGGGGTCCACAGCACTGCTGACATTCCAGAGTGGATTCCAGCCTTACAAGGTCTGGAATCTTAAAGACAACCACCACACTGTATGAAACAATCATGTGTTTAATGCATCACAGAACAAACTTGTTCTTTAATATTCAGTTCATCATGAGTTTGGATTGCTGTAATTTTAAAGTCTAGAATCCAATTTATGCCCCAAGCAGCAGTACTTTTTGTGCGCAAACGGTGATTTAACTTACTAAACTTTGTGCAAAGTCACAAACCTTTTCATGTATTTATAATCTTCAAATTCCCTTCGTAACGAGCGGAGCGAAACAGCTAGAGCAACCGTTGCTGAATTATTTTCTACAACCTCAAAGGAAAAATCTACTCTCATCTGGGCTGCTCATTCTGGTCCTTGCGAGGCTGACTGATCCACCCTGGAACCTCCTGGAAGATGGGAGAGGTCACAGCCCTGACCTGGGCAGGGAGCCAGGCCAGAGGCAACGGCAGACTCTGGAGCAGGCACAGCGCCCCTGCTTGGTCGTGCTCCTCCATCGGCGAGCACACGCTCACCTGGGCCCACCACCACCTTGCACCAGTACTGCACGCTTCCCCCTGCAATGAGAGTGGGTGGGGCCCAGCTATGGGGAAGAGAACATAGCAGGATTTTTTGCTTTACTAAAAAAGCTCCTTTGGATACATAACCCTCTGGGACCCATCCAGAAAATTAACCTTTTTTGAGCCAGGGATGCCTGCTTTGGGAAAGGTTTATTTTTACAGCTTGCTGTTCTTCTGGAACTGGGACACCAGGCTGAGGACTTGCTCGGAGGCTTTGATGTACTTCGAGCCCAGGTAGGCGGTGCTGTGGGTGGCCCTCTCCTCCAGGTAGTAGCGGTAGTTGACCATCAGGCCACAGGACCCGGTGATGCCCCTAAGGCTCACGTCGGCCATCCAGTTGATACGCCACATCACAGCCCCGTTCTGTAGGTGGAAGTTGGCGACGGGGTTGAGGGCATAGCCACGGTGCTTCTCGCCATACAAATACCAGGCACAGAGCCTCATCAAGGGCACCCGCAGCATCCGCACCAGTTTCTCAGACTTCACCCACTCATGGCTGCTGAGGAAGACCTTGAGGGTCTCGTTGATGGGCCCGCCGATGATCTCGGAGATCTCCTTAGATTCCGAGTCAGTGAAGAGCTGACTCCGCCCATGATCCTTCTGTGAGCTCAGCAAGCCCAGAAGCCACTTGGTGAACCCAGGTACAGGCGACAGACTTGAAAATGTTCCAAGGTCAGGAAACTCTTTCTGTGAAGCACGGTTGGGATGGGGAAAGGAAGGCAGAGAGAAGGACACACGCAGACAAAAAAGATGCAGTGGGTATTTCACTGGTAGCAAAAAAACCTCTCAATTTATCATTTATGTCTGATTAATCTGCGCATGCTGCCTTATAGTTTACACAGTCACATTCGACACACACTAGTTTTCTTCATTCAGGGAACATCTGCTAGGAACCCAATGTGTGCCAGGCCCTGCTCAAGGCCCTGGAGGCATCCTGAGTCCTTGAGGCTAGTCTTTAGGATGGTGTCACTGTTCCCACCCTCATTCACATGGACACAATGAAGCCCATGAGTCGGGGACTTGCCCAAAGTGAAATGGCTGTGCCACCGTGAAGTGGGTTGTGGTGTTCAGTCTTCTACCACATGGCCCTCCCGTGAGGCAGGCCCTTGCTCGGAACTGTGCTACAGCCCCAGAGCCTGGTGTGGGGCCTGGTACACAAGTACCCAATGACTGGACTGAATGAGTAACTGATCACCTGGCTCTACCATAGTGGGTACAGACGATGGGGCACAGGGAAAGGCTAAGGGTGTTTCTCCATATTGTATATTCAATCATTACTGTTCAACTTCTACTGCAGTCTCAACAATCATTCCCAAAAATCAGTGTGTTCTGGTTATGGAAGGTGTATGTGCTCACTATTGACATTTAAAAAAAAAACCTGACAGAAGAACAGAACACCAGCATACTCCACTCCTCCGAGATAACTACTCTCCATAGTATAATTCCTTCAGATCTTTGTCTAGGCAGTGAGGGAGAGGTTTATATCCTGCCTGATGAACGTGTATCATGAGCATTTTCTCATCATTAAAAATTCAAAAACATAATTTTAATGGCAGAGTAATATTAGAAGATATGGCTGTAGCACAATTTTTCTAACAGTGTTCTTTTCATTGGGCATTTAAGGTGACTCCCAGGTTTCTGCTTTTACAAACAGTGATGTACACTTGTGTGCAGAAGGTAACACTGCTTCCTCTCAGATTCTCTCGATTGCTCTCCGGCTCAGAGCCAAGAGTTGGTTCAGGAAAGCCTCAGGCCGGCCACTGGCTTAAGGGGCCGGCTCTGATTTAGTGAGAAAGAGAGTCTGCAGGAGAATCATCCAGACCCTGGTGGCTTTGACCGTTTCACTGTCTTTCTTACATGTATACATCCCGCCTCCCTGCCCCCTTCATCAACACCTTCAGCAATGAAGAAGGAACTAGAAAAAACTTAACTAGATGTGGCTTGTTACCATCTCCAGGGGAAAGGGGCAGAGAGCAATCCTAATAATTCTGAACCCAACAGAGTCCTGAGTTCTCAGATGTAAAACTGATTATGAACGTAACAGAAGACATGCAGATACTCTAATACCACTCTTTCTCGAAGGAAGAGCTTTGGCTGCAGTGTCCGTGCTGAACCACCCACCCCAAGTGGGACAGAGCCAATTATAAGCAACGTGAGCTGGAATCAACTCAATGGCAAGGGGTTTGGTTTTTGGGTAATGTGATGATTAATGTTAATGTGCCAACTTGGTAGGCCAGGATTCTCAATATTATGTAATTATCCTCCATTTTGTGATCTGATGTAAGGGGAATTTCCTTGGGGGTATGGCCTGCATCCAATATATATGGATGTTCTGACAAAGCTCTATCAATCCTGTATCTGACTCGTCATCCTCCGACGTCTGGTTCTTGGGATGTGAGCCCACAGACTGCCATCTGACCTGCTGATTTTGGGTATGTCAGCACCTGCAACCACGTGAGTCAGGAGGAGACATCAGCCTGACGCCTGACCCATGGATTTGGATTCGCCAGCCTCCACAACTGCATGAGCTATTTCCTTGAAATAAACATCTCAATGCTTCACTGGTTTTGCCCCTCTAGAGAACCTGGCCTAAGGTATTTAGTACAGAGAGGGGTTGTAGAGGAACAAAATCATAAGGATGAATTTTTTGAGTTTTCTCAAGTCTTGCTAGTTTTAAAGGCACTGAAGACTCTGCCTCCAGTAGTAAAGAAGGCACTGTTAATCCATGGCATGAGATGTCAATAGAAATATGCAAAATATTACCACCAATAGATCAAGTATTGGTACAAGGCAAGGCTCTGGGTGATTACATATTTAATACTTTCTCCAATTTTGCCAGAATGAGAAGTATAAGGAAGCTGGTTGGGTGGTCCTACTTTTGGTCAAACAAGTGGTAAAAGAAAGGGATGAGCTCAAAGCTTCAGAGTCACAGCTCAAGCGCCGCATACAAGGTTTGAAAGTTGACGCTTGTGCTCTGAAAGACTTATTTCTTGTAGAAACAGAGCTGACACTGCCGAAAACCAAACCCAGAAAGCTTATCGTAAGAGTAACTGAATTATAACACCAATTAAATTACCAATCTCGAATGGTGTCCAAAGTTAAAGTGAGGGCACTGATTGGGAAGAAATGGGATCCTGAAACTTGGTATGGGGACATATGGGCAGATAATCAGGAAGCTGGGGACACTAAGCCCCTAACTTCCATTGAATCACTCCTGCCAACAGAACCAGCCCTCTTACTCCCATTTGAAGAGATTACTCCGTCTTTGTCTGATAAGACACTCTCCCCAGTAAAACCATTATCCCTTCCCCCTCCATCTGATGAGATTAACCCAGCTGTGCCAGAAGAGTCTTTGTCTGAGATATCATCTGGGGCAGTGTCAGAGGTATTGCCTGCGGCATAGTCTGAGGCAGATGCCTTACAAGACATCGCTGAATGTCCCTAGGACTCACCCCCACAACTCATTTTTGCTTGTAGACCTATAACTAGACTTAAGTCCCAGCAACCCCCAAGAAGTGAAGTACAAAGTGTGACCCAGGAAGAAGTATGCTACATTCCAAAAGAAATGCTTGATTTTTCTAACAGACAAACAGAAACTTGGGGAATACGTGTGGGAATGGCTATTAAGTGTGTGGGATAATGATGGAAGGAACATAAAGTTGGATCAGTCTGAGTTTATTGATATGAGCCCACTAAGCACAGATTCTTCAGTGCTTCAGCTCGAGAGTTGAGAAAAGGGTCTAACAGTTTATTTGGTTAGTTCACTGAAGCATGGATTAAGCAGTGGCCTACACTAAATGAAACAAATGCCAGACCTGCCTTCGTTTACTGCAGAAGGAGGTAACCAAAGGCTTAGGGAAATTGGCAAGTTTAAGTGGATTTATCATGTTGGACCCACAGACCCATCCATGGAGTACCCAGAGGACATACCTTTTACCACAATGGTGAGAAACAAATTTGTGAAGGGAGCCCCAGATATGACAGAGGGGGCTACCCTAATTGAATTAAGACACCTAACTAAAATGGGGCTGATTGGACCCTGTGGTGGTAGGGGCTGAGTGGCAGCACTCAACTGACAAAAGACAAGGTGGGCGTGGTTACCATAATGGACAGAGGAGTCAAAGCAGTAATCAGAATACTCGGACTTGTATGGACTTATGGCGTTGGCTACTTACTCATGGTGTCCCTAAGAATGAAACAGATGGGAAATCTACTAAATATTCAGTTGATCTACACAAGCGGAAGAATTCTAGGTCAAGTGAACAGCAGTCTAACTCCAATAACCAGAATACAGAGTCACAGCCCCTCAATCAATTCCCAGACTTGAGCCAGTTTACAGACCCACAACTTCTTGAATGAAGGCAAGGCCACATCCCCTTGAAGGCCACCACTACCCTGACAAAAATTTATACTATTAACCTTTCTCCCAGCCTTCCCCAAACAGATCTACACCCTTTTACAAGAGTGACTATTCATTGGGGAAAAGGAAATAACCAGACTTTTCAGGGATTATTGGACACTGGTTCTGAACTGACACTAATTCCAAGAGAGCCAAAATGCCACTGTGGCCCACCAGTCGGAGTGGGGGCACATGGAGGTCTGGTTATTAATGGAGTCTTAGCTCAGGTCCATCTCACAATGGGTCCAGTGGGTCCCTGAATTCATCTTGTAGTGATTTCTCCAGTTCCAGAATGCATAACTGGCACAGACATACTCAGAAACTAGCAGAACCCACACTGAATACCATATATGTGGATTAAGGGCTATTATGGTAGGAAAAGCCAAGTGGAAGCCATCAGAACTGCCCCTACCTAGGAAAATGGTAAACCAAAAGCAATACCACATTCCTGGAGAGGAACTGCAGAGATTACAGCCACCATCAGGACTTGAAGGATGCAGAGGTGGTGATTCCCACCACATCCCCATTCAACGCACCTATTTGGACTGTGAAAAAAGCAGATGGATCTTGGAGAATGACAGAGGATTATCAGAAACTTAACCTGGTGGTGACTCTAACTGCAGCTGCTGTTCCAGATGTGGTTTCATTGCCTGAGCAAATTAATACATCTCCTGATGCCTGGTATGCAGGTATTGCACTGGCTAATGCCTTTTTCTCCGTATCTGTTTCGAAGGACCACCAGAAGCAGTCTGCCTTCAGCTGGCAAGGCCAGCAATACATCTTCACTGTCCTACCTCTGGGATATATCAACTCTCCAGCCCTATGTCATAATTTAGTATGCAGGGACCTTGATCACATTTCCCTTCCACTGGGTATCACACTGGTCCATTATATTGATGACATTATGCTGACTGGACCTAGTAAGGAAGAAGTATCAATGACTCTAGACTTACCGGTAAGACATTTACGTGTTAGATGCTGGGAAATTAATCTGACAAAAATTCAGGTGGTTTTCACCTCAGTGATATTTCTAGGGGTCCAGGGGTGTGGGACATGTTGAGATATTCCTTCTAAAGTGAAGGATAAGTTATTGCATCTGGCCCCTACTACAACTAAAAAGGAGGCACAAGGTCTAGTGGGCCTCTTTGGATTTTGGAGGCAACAAATCCCTCATTTCAATGTGCTACTCCAGCCTATTTATCGAGTGACTTGAAAAACTGCTGGTTTTGAGTGGGGCCCAGAACAAGAGAAGGCTCTGCAACAGGTTGACGTTGCCATGCAAGCTGCTCTGCCCCTTGGGCCATATGATCCAGCTGATCCAATGATGCTTGAAGTGTCCATGGCAGATAGACATGCTGTTTGGAGCCTAGGGCAGGCCCCTATTGGTGAATCACAGTGCAGATCCTTAGGATTTTGGAGCAAAGCCCTGCCATCCTCTGCAGGTAACTACTCTCCTTTTGAGAAACAGCTTTTGGCTTGTTACTGGGGCTTAGTAGACACTGAACACTTAACTGTGGGCCACCAAGTTACCACAAAGCCTGTGTTGCCTATCACGAACTGGGTGTTGTCAGACCCAGAGTCATAAAGTCGGATGTGCACAGCAGCACTCCATCATTAAACGCAAGTGGTATATACAAGATCAGGCTCAAGCAAGACCCAAAGACGCAAGTAAATTGCATGAGGAAGTGGCTCAAACGCCCATGGTCTCCACTCCTGTCACATTACCTTCACTCTCCCAGTCTGCACCTATGGCTTCATGGGGAGTTCCTTACAATCAGCTAAGGAAGATAAAAATCGTGCCTGGTTTACAGATGGTTCTGCATGATATGCAGGCACCACTCAAAAGTGGTGGTAGCACTGCAGTCCCTTTCTGGGACCTCCCTGAAGGACAGTGGTGAAGGAAAATCTTCCCAGTGGGCAGAACTCCAAGCAGTGCACCTGCTTGTTCATTTTGCTTAGAAGGAGAAATGGCCAGATGTGCAACTGTATACTGATCTATGGGCTGTGGCCAATGGTTTGGTTGGATGGTCAGGGACTTGGAAGGAACATGAGTGGAAAATTGGTGACAAAGAGGCATGGGGAAGAAATATGCAGATAGATTTCTCTGAATTGGCCAAAGAAGTGAAGATATTTGTGTCTCATGTGAATGCTCACCAAAGGGTGACCTCAGCAGAGGAAGATTTTAACAATCAAGTGGACAGGATGACATGTTCTGTGAAAAACAGTCATCCTCTTTCTCCAGCCACTCCTCTCACTGCCCAATGGGCTCATGAACAAAGTGGCCATGGTGGCAGGGAGGCAGCTTATGTTATGCATGGAGTCAGCAACACGGACTTCCACTCACCAAAGCTGATTTGGCTACAGCCATTGGTGAGTGCCCAATCTGCCAGTACCAGAGACCAATACCAAGTCTCTGATATGGCACCATTCCTCAGGGTGATCAGCTAGCAACCTGGTGGAAGGCTGATTACACTGGACAGCTTCCATCATGGAAAGGGCAGCGTTTTGTTCTTACTGGGACAGATACTCTGGATACGGATGTGCCTTCCCTGCATGCAATGCTTCTGCCAAAACTACCATCCATGGACTTACAGAATGCCTTATCCACCACCTCAGTAGCCCACACAGCACTGTCTCAGATCAAAGGACTCACTTCACAGCAAATGAAGTGTGGCAGTGGGCCCATGCTCATGGAATTTACTGGTCTTACCATGTTCCCCATCATCCTGAAGCAGCTGGCTTGACAGAATGATGGAATGGACTTCTAAAGACAAAATTACGGTACCAGCTATGTGGCAATACCTTGCAGGGTTCGGGCAATGTTCTCCATGAGGGAGTACATGCTCTAAACCAGTGTCCAATATATGGTATTGTTTCTCCCACTGCTTGGATTCATGGGTCCAGGAATTAAATGGTGGAGATGGGAGTGGCACCACTATTACCCCTAGTGACCAACTCACAAAATTTTTGCTTCCTGTCCCTGCAACCCTATGCTCTATGGGTCTAGAGGTCATAGTTCCAAAGGGAGGAATGATCCCACCAGGAGACATATCACTGATTCCACTGAACTGGATATTAAGAATGCTACCTGGCCACTTTGGCTCCTCATGCCTCTGGATCAACAGGCAAAGAAGGGAGTTATCATATTGTCTGGTGTGATTTATCCTGATAACCAAAGGGAAATCGGACTGATATCACATAACAGAGGTAAAGAAGAGTATGTCTGGAATACAGGAGATCCCTCAGGGTGTCTCTGAGTGCTATCATACCCTGTGATTAAAGTCAATGGGAAACTACAGCAACCCAATTCCAATATGACTAATGGCCCAGACCTTTTAGGAATGAAGGTTTGGGTCACCCCACCAGGCAAAGAACCATGACCAGCTGAGGTACTTGCTGAGGACAAAGGGAGCTCGGAATGGATGGTGGAAGAAGGTAGTTCTAAATACCAGCCGTGACCATGTGACCAGTTGCAGAAACAAGGACTGTAATTGTTATGAGTATTCCTTCCTTGTCTTATTACATGTGTATGTGTGCATATATGCGTATATATATAGCAAATATTTTTGTTTTTTTCCTTCCCTTATCCCATTACTTATAAAAATAAGATATAAATGGGGCTAGTGTGCTTTCAGTTATATGTACGTTAGTTGTATCATCTTAGGTGCAAATATGACTTTATAATTGTCTTTATTTAGAGATTACGCATGATCTGAGAAGATGTATACAGGTGCCAAGTTGACAAGGGGTGGAATGTGATAGTTAATGTTATGTGTCAACTTGGCTAGGCCATAATTCTCAGTATTATGTGATTATCCTCTATTTTGTGATCTGATGTAAGGGGAGTTTCTTTGGGGGTGTGGCCTGCATCCAATATATATGGATGTTCTGGTAAAGCTCTCTCTCTCAATCCTGCATCTGACTCATCATCCTTTTATGTCTGGTTCTTGGGACATGAGCCAGCAGCCTGCCATCTGACCTATTGATTTTGGGTTTGGCAACCCCTGCAACCACGTGAATCAGGAAAAACCGCCAGTATGAGGCCTGACCCATGGATGTGGGACTTGCCAGCCTCCACAACTGTGCAAGCCACTTCCTTGAAGTGAATGTCTCTCTCCATATATGTATATGCTTCACCAGTTTTCCTCCTCTAGAGAACCCAGCCTAAGACGTCTAATAATGAGATTCTACTTGTAGTTCATCAAGACCCCTTCTGAGATAGTTTTTTAAAGCCAAGGCCCAGACTGAAACTGAGAACTTTCTGCTGTAGGATGGGTAACGTGCTTTTCACTGGGCAACAAAGAAAAGAAGGTTATACAGACATAGCTAATGTGTTTCCCTTCACGCTGCCTGTTCTAATCTTGATGCTCTGATGGATGAAGCATCAGAGCCAGGAAGCTCTCGGGAATGTGGGCGAGGGTGGGCTAGGAGAGGTCAGGTGTGCTAGGGTTACCACACAATCATCACCCAAACTGGGACACTTTAGAGGGTGAACGAAGGTACTCCTGGCACTGACTTCAGGATACTACATACAAATTAGGACCGTCCTGGGCGCTCTGGAACAGAGGGTTCCTCAGGCACAGCCAACATGCTAGGATAAACCTGCAGTGCACGGACAACCTAGAGGCTGGACGCTGGGTGGCTGGATGGCTTCTTCCCACATCACCCCCATCTCTCTGATAAGCTCCCAGCTCCCAGGAACTGCACATGGGCATCTGGCGTTTTCCTGTTGCCTCCTCCCTCCCTTTTGGTTTCTATCTTCATCCCTGTCCTGAGGGATGATCAGCAGGATTTATCACCAGTCATGAAACCCAACACCCCGCAAGTCTCATCAGTGGGAATGGGGCCGTATTCAAGCAAGATAATCAGAGGTGAGGACAGAACACACAGCGTTTGATTCTGCCACACTTACTTGCAGTTCCTTTATGACACGTTTTATAAGGAACGTTCCTAGTTCAACGCCCTGTAGACCCTGTTGGGTCAAACTGATGGAGTAAAAAATCGCAGCGACGATTTTGTTCTTATCCTCAGTTTCTGAGGGAGGACATTCCTTCACTATCGCCTGGAAGACATTAATGGTGACTGTGAGAATGGGCTTTGGCGTACTCACACCCCATATTTCAACCATTCCACTTGGGGCCGTCAGGGCAGTTCTCATGGAAGGGGAGCTGTTTCGGCTTAGACTACCAGAGCCGAATGCTGTCTGTTCTATTTTGAAAACTCTCCGGAGGCAGCAATTTCACAACCACCCCAGGTTGTTTGCTTAGTTATATAATTTCTACCATTCTGAAATTCACATGCAAACTCTGCCGAAGTGCTATGTATGTCCCTTTTTGTTCTTTTGCAGGCCTTTGTGCAAACTGAACCTTATATAACACACTCCCCGATAATACCCAGAGACAACAAACTAACCTTTGTCCAGGTCCGATAACTCCAATTTCTTTTGCTTTTCTGTAAAGACCTGCCTCTCTTACCCTTTAGTGATTTGCCACATGCAGTCCTATATAATTTTTCTTTTACCTTCTGTGACTTTTCTATGTACCTTTTTGATGTTTGGACCAACACTCTTGTTTTTCCTAAATGGAAATGCACACTCACTCAGATACGCACACAAAGCAATCAAGAAGATGACTTGGATTGGAAAGTCACCGACCCAGGTGTGATTTTATCGGCTCTGTATTTGATTGTAGGGTTCCTTTGAACCCTAATACTCTCAAAATCACTTTATAATAGTGGACTAGCAGGTGGTTACCTTTTGGTTTGCTCTGATGCAGGTACAACCAGTTTACTTTTTTTTAAAAAAAATAGTATTTTATTGTGTTTTTGGTGAAGGTTTACACAGCAGTTCAGGTTCCCATTCAACAATTGCTACACAAATTGTTTAGTGGCATTGGTTACATTCTTCATCAAGTGTGAATGTTCTCATTATTTCCTTTCTGGTTGTTCTGTTTCCAGTAATCTAGTTTCCCTGCCTTATTACCTTCTCGTCTTTGTTTAAAGTAACTGTTGACCATTTGGTCTCATATACGTGATTTTCTGAAAGAGTTAGGGTTGCTATGAGTCAGGATCAACTCGACGCCAAGGGGACAGTACTTACAGGTGATAACTCACTATTTTGTGAGCTAATTTGTTATTTAGCTACAAGGACCGGTTTACTTTTGAAGAACACATTGAAACTAATTAACTTCCGCCAGCTACCTTTGATTCTGGAAGTAGGGGTTTTGAACCCAGAGTCCACAGGTAACGTGTGTGTCTGTGCATTTCCCCTGGGGAAAAGCCCTCTGCTTTCATCTCCACCAGGTTCTCAAAGAGGTCTGCGAGTCCCTAAAAGTTAAGGATGTGCCCTGAGGAAAGTGGGGGAGATCATAAAACAGAACTGGGGACTCCTCCCAAGTCCAGCCCCCGGCCACATACTGGCCCCGCACTTTTGGAAAAGAACTAAGTCTGTGGTTTAAGGAATGGAGCTCCCTCTGCATCATCTTCTTCATCTCCTTTGTTGTTTAAGAAGTTGGTGTACCTGCATGAAGGTTTCAGCCATTCCTGCTGGACTCCTCATAGAGAAGACACATTTGCTACAGATAGAGACTATCAGAATTTCCATAAACTCCATTCACCCAGCAGAGTTCTGGGCCCATACAAGGCATATGGTGAGTGGTTTATTTTTCAATCATGTGTCTTTTAAAACTCCTTGCAGGCATTTCACAAGTGCTGAAATGCTGAGTCAAGCATCCTAACTATCCCCCAATCACAACCATTTCCCGCTGCACAAAAATATTCCAAATAGATTTCAACCATGTCTCAACTTAAAATCAACACACCCAGATGAATGCTGTTCTCTTCCCATAACTTCCTATATACTACATGGCTACATTCAACAACTCAAATTTGGAGATTGCATCTAACCAATCCAAAAATCCACAAAAAATTCAAAGCCATTTATTTTAAAAACCAAGGATAAAACTAAGTAAAAAAATAAAAACACTTCAGTGGCCTCCAGGGCAGCTTGTTTGCTCCTGAGTAGACTGCAGAAAGGTACCTGAATATTGCTGGTGATATCGTTGGTCAGGGCCACATGCAGAACCACCAGGGGCTCCTCAGGGGTGGAACAGTGAGAAAAAAAATAGCATCTTCTATAAGGTCCAACACGGCGCTTTATATCCATCCAATTTTTTACAGGGTGCACTGCCTCAGACCTGGTGAGTATATCATAAAAAGATAAAAAAGAAAAAAATGTGTTAATTTACAAGTTAAAGAACTACTGCTGATTCCTATTTACATTACTCACTAAAGTCAAATAACTCCTTTAAATACAGCTTTAATCGACTCTTCAGGAAGATTCAAAGAAAGTCATTTTCATGTGAAATAGCACTAAGAGGAATCACAATTAATGACCATTTTACACACAAAATTGTGCTCTAATTCTTAATACCACTTTTAAAATGAGTTTGTGATGCTCTTGAGATGCATCTGTGCAGCAAATTTTACCACATGCAGAAATACAGTCAAGTGCTTAGTTGCTGAACACTCTGATTTCCTTCAGTTCCTGCAGGTTTGAAGCAACCGTCAACGCTGCCAACACTTGTCCCTGGGTTCCGTTTGTCTAGCCGCCTTGTCCAACCACTACTTGGTTGCTGGCATGTAGAATGGCAGCAGGCACTGTCAGCCCTTTGAGTCTGCTACACTCCCAACAGTGTGACAGTTTCAAGCCTGAGATCCCATCAAACAACACAGAATGCAAAGATCCTGAGGCCGAAAGAGGTTTTTCGGGTTACGAGGACAACTGTGACATGCAAGCCCATAATTACTACGTCTTGGACAAGCTGTGTCTCTGGGTCGCACAAATGGTTAAGTGCTTGGCTGCTAATGGAAAAGCTGGAGGTTCAAGGACACCCAGAGACACTTCAGAAGAAAGGCTTGGTGAACTGCTTCTGAAAAATTAGCGATTGAAAACCTTATGGAGCACAGTTCTACTCTGACACACATGGGGTCACCATGAGTTGGGGTCAACTAAATGGCAAGTTTTTTGGACAAGTTTGTAATTATGTATAATACTGTCATTTTAGAGATTTTACCCAAAGGAGAAATTTTAACAAGGAGAGAAAGTAAACACTGTTTTGATTACTAATGCAAATACAGGGTCCAGTGAATCTGCACAACTCTGATGACAAGGTCTAGGGAAGCCGTGAAGTGGGTGTGCTTGCTTTTAATATGAGGACATAAATAAGACTCCCCAGTAAGTTTACTGACAGACCAATGAGTTTCCACCTGAGCCCTTTCCTCCTCTGTAATTCTGGGGTCAGCTGCTAGAGCAGTCACATTTGTGAAGACTACACTGAGTTTCACCAGGTTTGCCATGAAATGTGCATGTGAGTGGAGAGTGGCTTCCAGCTAAAATCTAAGAGTGAGCGAATGTGAATACTTACTCACTGATTTTCTGAAGCACCTCACATGGTGAATGCCAGGTGACCCGTTCTAAGTTGAGGAACCCAGAAGAGAACCATTCTGAGAGCATGCTTTTCAGCACCCCATCCATTTCCTGAAAAGGAGGACACTGAAGGTGAGTGTGGGCCTTCAAACTATAGCAGCTCAAACCCACTTTTACAGCATCACCAGCAAACGGAATTAAAACATGAAAACATGATACAAAAGAAGACCATGCATTCTGCTGAGTGAAATGAGCCACACACCAAAGGACAAATATCATATGATCCCACTTACATGAAATATCCAGAATAGGCAAACGCATAGAGACCAAAGTTTATTAGTGGTTACCAGAGATAGGTGTGAAGGGGAGGTGGGGAGGAGAAATTGCTTAAGGGGCACCAAGTTTCCATTAAGGGTGATGAAAGATTTGGAATGGATAGTGGTGATCGTTGTACAGCATGTGGAATGCAATTAATGTTACTGAATTGTACATATAAAACATGATTGAAACGGCAAATGTTTCGTTACATACACTTCATCACAATAAAATTTTTTTTAATATAAAATGTTTGCTACTCTTCAAAAAGACCACACGAGATGATTAGATGGTTCTCTAAGCAGCTTTTTTTCTGAGATAGCTCTGTATTGAACGCTTATCTCAAGCCAGGTTGGATTTTAACGTTCAACTCTGTAATTCAGGCTTAACTATTTTAATCTGTAAAATACCTGAATGGGAATATGCAATTTGAACTAAGTTGCCCAAATCAAATAATATGTTCCACTTCACTGTCCACGGTGAACATAACTAAAAGTATACAATAAATATAGCACTGAGAGGTGCATCATAAAGGAAAAGCAAGCATGGCCAGCCTGGAGTTCAGAAAGTCCACAGCTGAAGAATTAAACATCCTTTAAATCTGCCAGAATAGAATTCCCAGGTTTCATAAGAGAAACAAGTATTTGGTTCCAGGTACCATATTTCATCAAGCCCTGGTGGTGCAGTGGTTGAAGTGCTTGGCTGCTAACTGGAAGGTAAGCAGTTCCAAGCCACCAGTTGCTCCTTGGGAGAAAGAATGTGGCCGTATGCTTCAATAAAAAATTTACAGCCTTGGAAACCCTATGGGGCAGTTCTACTCTGTCCTACAGTGTTGCTATGAGTCAGAATCGACTCAGTGGCAATGGGTTAAGATGCATATTTTCATATTTTAACTTCTCCGCAGTCAGGACACATCTTTCAAATGATGGCAGGTCACAGTTTAATTGGCAGCATTTTTTTTAACCTTAAAAACCCACTGCCATTGAGTCGATTCTGACTCATAGTTGGTACATAAAATAATAGTGCGTCTGACAAACAATGCATTTTAGATTTGATGAAATAATCTTATTCCAGCTTAATTCCACCTACATCTACTTCCAAAAATGATTTGAGTCAGTTTTATCATCAGAGATGCAATTGCAGTGAAACCTTTAAAGCAAGAACAGAAGAGCCAGAGGCGTGTGAGGACAGGCAGGAAGCAGGAGCAGACATATCTCGGGTCAGGATGCCGTGGTCCTCTGTGGTCACAGTAGGAAGCTTTCTAATAGCCAGAGCAAAGGATGTTGAGTGTAGCAGACACAGCTTGCTGTCCCCCAGTAGTTGTTTTCCCTTTCTTCCAGATTAACAGAAGCCCCATTTTTTAGCGAGGCACACAGCTGTCCAGGACAAAGATGGCACTGTAGGTAGGGGTGGTCGTATGACTAAGTTCTGGCCAGTGAGATGTAAGCAGAGGTGGCGTGTGGCAGCTTTTGGGAATCTTCCTTAAAGACAGCTGGAAAATGCCCTTTGCCCAACTTCTTCTTTGTCTTTCCCTCCCAACTACAGGCTGGAAGGTGGTGTGATGGCTTGAGCTGAGGCAGACATCTTGGGCCATGAGATGACTCGGAATGAAGGTTACTGGGTGAGAGGAACAAGACAGATATTTGGGTCCCTGAGGGTACCACAGAGCAGAATCACCCTGCCAGCCCTGGGCTGTTAACTGCAGACCTTTCTGTGAAAGTCAAATTCTCTATTATTCAAACCACTACCAGTTTGGGACTCTGTTACTCATACATGAAACACATACTAATAGATACACTGAATGCCGTTATTGAATGATGTAAACATCTCAGTATGTCTTATACAGAACTGACCTTATGACTTTGTATAAAGATCACAAATATAATGGGTAACCCCTGTAAAGGGCAGTTTTACAAAACAAATTTCATAGGGCCATTCTACATTTTGATCCCTGCCTGGTAAAAGCTGAAAGGACTCAGAACTCTGTCATCTGAGGAAACACTGCAGGTGTAGGGGTGGCAGCTCAAAGATTTTAGAAAGACACGAGCTTCATCTTTAAATAGTTAAGCACTTGAATAAGAGTGTATGGACAAGACCACAGGTTTGTTCTGTGTGACTCCATGGATGTAGGGAGGGATAACCTAGGGCCAGCTGGTAGGAGCCATGGATGCCAGACTTGGACTTAACTTAATGTGAAGATGCTCTCAAGGGCTCTTCCCAGATTCTATCTTGGGAGAGATGAACTCCCACCATTGGACATCATCAAGCAGAAGGTAGATCAGAACTTGGTCGAGCCACTTTATAAAGGATTTCAGCATAGACTGGGTGGCAGACCAGATGACCTTTGCAATTCCTTTTAACTCTGGTGACCATAATAATGATCTGTATCTAATCTCCTTTCCTTGGCTCCGAAAGGGCAGAAGCCATTTCAGATTCAATTCTATAGCTGCCAAAGCATTTGGTGGTACCTTCCACGTGGAATACGGTTAACGGATGGATATCAGATGAAACAGAAAAGATTGGAAGGATGGTGGTTAGGAAGTAGCAGGCAAAGAAAACAAATATAATTTGTTAGTCAACACAGGGAGCCCTGGTGGCACAGTGGTTAAATGTTCAGCTGCTAACCAAAAAGGTCAGCAGTTTGAATCCACCAGCCGCTCCCTGGAAACCCTATGGGGCAGCTCTACTCTGTCCTATAGGGTCACCATGAGTCGGAATCAACTTGACAGAAATGGGCTTGGTTTTTTTGATTAGTCAATATAGACAACAATCAATATAGAATGGCTCTAAGCAAGATACGTGAGACTAAATGGGCAGCTTCTGTCCGGAGGTGAGAGAGGGTTAGGAGCTGGTTGAATGGACACAGGAAATCAGGGGTGGAAAGGAGGAGTGTGCTGTCACAGAATAGGAAGAACAATTACAGTCACATAAAAATGTATGTATAAATTTTTGTATGACAGACTAACTTGAATTGTAAACTTTCACTTAAACTACAATAATCAGAAAAAAAACAAAACAAAACTTCGTTTGTTGCACTTGATCCCAATGGTTCCTAATCTTCCTTGAGTTCTCATACACTCTTGAGTGTGTGCTGAAAACCATGGACCCTTGCCCCAGAAAAATGCAAACACGTAAACAAAATTCTGCAATTTCCTGGAGTTCACGGATCCCTTGGAATTCATCTCTGGATCATCCTGAGGGGTCCATGGACCCCAGGATAGGAGCTTCTGCACTCTCTGGTCAGGAAGAGACTATCTGAGCCCCACCTGAGCCACACTGGCACCTCTATTTCTGCCATAGGCACATTCCTGATAGAAAAAAGCTGGAAGTACCTTGGTGCAGTGGTACTTATGAAAGAAATGGTTTGGCTGATGAACACTCCCCCTTTAGAAGCAGCTTCATTCTATTTTGGGCTATTAACCGCTATAAAATGTGACACTGATTCATGGGCACTGGGAATCTAGGTTAAAGGTTAGAAGTCTCCACTGCTTAGTTCCAATGCTGGTGACAGCTGCTGGGGCTGGAATTAGACCTCAGCGTGGCAAGGTTACTGGATCACAAGTAACAGGAGGGGAAGAACTCTCTTATGCTTTACACTCATTAATTCAGCAATCATTTATCAACAAGATGAGATTTGAAAATACACCCACCAGGAATATTTTGGTGATGCCAAAGCCGGTGTTCGTTCTCTGGTCAGGGCATTCACACAAGGCTGACTTTATTTCGCACTGCTAAGGTCAGTTATCTCGGATGACACTGCTTAGAAGGCCAGCCGCCTTTTCTTTCAGCAGAGAAAAAGTTGTCTTCCACCTTCCTCTTGGGTTTTTGGCTATCAAGAGCTCCCATTTTTAATATGGTAGCTACCACTGAGTCAGCCCCCAAATGATGGCAACCCCATGCATAACGGAACTAAGTGCTGTCTGATCGGCTGCAGATCGGAGCTATGTGATCCACAGAGTTTTCACCGGCTGATTTTCAGATACACACAGCCAGGCCTTTTTTCCTAGTCTGGAAACTCTGCTGAAATCTGTTCAACATCACAGCAACATAAAGCCTTCACTGGCAGATGGCTGGTAGCTGTGCATGAGGTACATCGGCTGGGAATCGAACCGAGGTCTCTCGCATGGAGGGCAAGAATTCTACCACTGAATCACTACTACCCCCATCCATTTTTTATATGTGAAAAAAGTTACTATTCATTGCTCAGAAGTTCTGAGGTGGGGAAGAGAGCTGAAAACAACTCATACAGGTTTTACACGGCCTTTGTATTTTGGAGGAAAAAACAGATTCCTCAACAATATGTTGTTACTGTTATAGCCCTAATCTTCAGGCTACATATTAAATATGTCCAGCATAGCTGTAGAGCAGCATGCAGAGCCAGCCCAGTAACCAGGTACATGTACAGCTCATCACAGCTCCGTGTATTACTCAAACACTACTGTCAAGATCATGTACAGAGTATTTCTATACTGCTGTCATGGCTTGCACCATTCTGATCACAAATACGGTAAAAGTTTCAAATGACACATAGACAGGCAGACCCAGAGAGCAGATCCCAGAAATAATGGCACTTGAAGACCTTCTAGACCCATTTATACTGTGAAGAGAGTCCAGAAAGGCCACATATCCCACAGATGCCATCTCATGTCCAGGTAGACACCTGAGTAGGGAGTGTCTGTCATCTCTTAGGAATCAACCAGGAAAAATTTCTTAGCAAGTTGTCAGAGGTTAGTTTTCTCTGGGTCACTGGTCTTAACTCTATGAATCGCTTTCCCTTAAGACACTAAGTTTAAATT